CTTCCTCTGCCGCGCCCTGCAGCTCCATACCCCTCAGCAGTCTTAGTGGCAGCACCGCCTCCCACATGGCGTCTGCGGAAGTCCTCCTGCAGAATCTGCTGCCTTAGCCACTCAGGTGTCCATTGATCTTGCTGAGAGTTGAGGGTGGGGATGAGGTTGTCCCAAGAGTTGTCCAACACCGAGATGATCTTGGTGCACTGCTGCAGCTGAGATACACTGCTGCCCGCTGCTGCCATCCTTGCATAGGTGTCCTTGATCTTGTCAAGGACCGGCTTCACATCGTCCCCTGGTCGCATGGAGATGGCAGCAAGTTCCTTCTCGAGCACGATCACCATCAGGAGAGTGTTGGGCTGAACCACATCACGTAGTAGTTTCCACGCCCTTGGACCCGAATCATCCGCTTCCACAAGATCCTTGATGTGCTCGAACATCTCCTTGTTGACCGATTGAAGAATGAGGTCGAAAAGCACCGCGCTTTTCTCAATCCACCGTTCACGTGCTTCGCCTTCTTCCGGCATCTTCTCTTCCCCAACAGCAATCTTCAGAGCTTGTAGCGTTTGAAGGCACTCCTCATCCGTCCGCTCCATTCCTCATAGTTGGAGCCATCCAAAGCTTCAACTTTTGATGGCGGCGGCTCACTTGTCTTCTCAGCTACAGCTCCTCTTCCATTAGCATCTCCTCCTCTCTCATTCATCTTCTCCTTGAGAAATGACGAATTTCAGCTCCCCTTTGCTGTCCACACTCAGCTCCCTCGATATTTTCACAAGTGTCGGCGTCCACGAAATTTCGGCAGAGTTTCCCCTTAGCGGAAGACACATCCAACCTTTAGAACACCACTTAGGCACACCCACAGGCCATGGTGGGTCTAGAAGGGTCTTCACACTTCTGTAGACTCCTCTCAATGTCCTTAATATCGCTCTGATACCACTTGTTAGGATTAAGGACGGAGTCTAGGTGAACTTAGGAGCTAGAATTACTCAAAATATAAATCCGAAATTCTGGACAGAAAAGTCGTCTTCACAAGAAACGACGTCGACAAAAACCTAGCCGTTGGAATGTCGCGAAACTTGGATATGTTGTAGCTCTTAATCTCAGCTACCGTTCCCAATTTGAATCACGTTGATTGATGAAGTATTCGCGACGCTATGGCTTTCGACGCACTAGGGGGTAAGCTGTAGGAGGAGAACTTAACTCAATCTCAAAGGTTCAATCAAAGTTCAAGAATCTCACAAGGAATTAGAAGGAGCAAGAGAAAGGTTGGGATAGAAGAGAGGGATGAGAGGGAAGGTCCCAAGAGAGTCCCCAACCAAGGAAACCCCATAAGCACAAAGATTCCCTCCCTATAGGAACCCCAACTTTGACATTTGTCCCTTCCCAACCAATCCATCCAAGTTGGCCACCCTTGCCAACCTAGCTTGGTTGTTCCCAACCAATTTGCAGCTGTTACAGTAGAGTGACAATTTCCCCAACCCCAAAGGTCCCAACTCCATATAAAGTCACCCCACAACTTCACTTTGTAACCGCCGCAATTGTAACGCAAGCTCATGAACTTTGAATCTTCATAGCTTTCGCGTTCTTGCTCCGATTGAAGCGATTCTTGTTGCGTCGGAAAGATCTTCTCAAGATCTATCATCACAAATACCTGCTCAGACAGAATAACACAAAACACATTCCCAAACTCCAGAACACACCACACACAAATTCTTGCACATTCAAACCACACATGCAAGTTGAAAACATGGGATGGGAGGCAGACAGAATGTGATAGCATATGATGACATCACACAACAATCTCCCCCTCTGGCTGCCAACCATCATCGACCATACCACATCTCAAGCATGCATACTCAATGCACACTCATCCCAGCAAGCTTCATGCCCTTCCAATGATCCGCCTCCGCCAGACGCTTAGTGAAAATATCTGCTGCCTGCTGATGGGTCTTCACTATCTCCAGCCGCACCTCCTTATCAAGGAGTCTCCTCACCCAATGCCACTTAGGCCTTATGTGTTTTGTCAGCCCATGCAGACAAGCATTCTTGGCGAGCTTCACAGCGGACTCATTGTCACAAAACACAACTGTCGGCTTCTCCTGACCAACTCCCAACTCCTCCAACAAACGCCTCAGCCATACCACTTCCTTGGCCCCATGGTGTAAGGCCATGTACTCAGTCTCACATGAAGACAATCCCACCTCATTCTGCTTCTTGCTGCGCCAGCTCACAGCACCACCTCCTAGCAAGCACACATAACCCCCAATGCTGGTGCCATCCGCTTTCACTGAGTTGAAGCTAGCGTCAGTATAGCAACTCAAGAGCATCTCTCCACTCTTCACATCTGCAGCACCTCTCTGCAACCGCTGCCTCACTCCACTGTACTCCAATCCCACTGATGCCGTAGCACTCACATAGCGGACCAACCTCTTGGCCGCTTCCAGCTGCTCATGACTAGGGCGTGAGACCACACTAGCCAACCGTGATGTAGCAAATGCAATGTCAGGCCGTGTATGATTTGCAGCATAATTCAGCGACCCAACCATCGAATGAAACAGCTTCCTGTCACTATCACCCACTACCTCCTCATCAGCACATGGCTCCACAGTAAACCCTGAAGGTAGTGGTGTTGCTGGCTTTCCCCCATCTTGCAGCCCATACTTCTCAGCCAGCCCCTCACAGTACTTCCTCTGGTGCAACCTCAGCACACCCTTTTCCACATCTCTCTCCACGTGCATCCCCAAGTAGTACTTCACCTCACCCATCTTGGAGCACTTGAACTGCATCTCCAGCATCTGCTCTGCGCTGTCCAGCAAAGCAGTGGATGCAGAAAAGAGAAGGATATCATCCACATACACCAAGAGCATGAGGATTTCATCCTTCTCCTGCAGCAGGAACAGGCTGGGGTCACACTCACTCTTCTTGAAACCCCCAGCCAACAGCGCCTCCTCCAACTTGTGATACCATGCACGAGGCGCCTGCTTAAGGCCATAGATGGCCTTCTTCAGCCTGCAGACCCTGCCGCTCCCATCATCCAGCCCCTCTGGCTGCTTCATGTACACCTCCTCCAGAATGATCCCATTCAGAAAGGCAGTCACAATGTCCATCTGCCGTATCTTCCATCCCAGGAGTGCAGCTATCGCCAACAGCACCCTCAGTGTTGTTCCTTTCCCCACAGGAGCAAACACCTCATCATAGTCCTTCCCTTTGTCTGCTGAAACCCCCGTGCCACAAGCCTAGACTTGTAGCGGGTCAGCTCCCCTTCAGGTCCATACTTGTGCCTGTAGATCATCTTGGAAGTGATTGCCTTCTTTCCAGGAGGCAAGTCACACAGGTCCCATGTCTCGTTCTCAATTAGGGACCCGAACTCCTCATCCTCACTCGCCTTCCACTTCTCCCCATTTGGTCCATTCAAGGCCTCTTCTCGAGTCTTGGGCTCAGGGATTGGTGCCCAGTAGCAGTGAGCGATCTCATCTTCCTCAATCTGCTCAACCACACTCCCAGCCTGCACCACATTCGGCTTGCCTCTTCCCCCATAGGTCAGCCTCACTGGAGGGCGCACATCCCTCCTAGGACGCTCAGGCGGGTGTGGAACTCGAGGTGGAGACTCATGCTGCTGCTGCTGCTGCTGCTCTACTTCAGCTGCTCCCCCTTCCTCAGTCACCCCAGACATCTCCTCCTCTGACACTGCAACCTCCACCTGTCTTGAAGGCTGCTGCACCTCATCTGCCTCCACAATGAGCGGTGTAGATGGAAGCTTCTGTTGCTGCTGCTTCCATTCCTTGTAGTACAGGGACTCAAGAAACTTCACATCCCTTGACACTGTCAACTTCTGGGTGGTCAAGTCCCATAGCAGCCACCCCTTGTGATCCTTTGCAATCCCCAAGTGCACACCCCATCTTCCAGAAGCCTCCAACTTCCCCCTTTTCTCCTTAGGCACATGAAACACCACCATGCACCCAAATGCCCTCAGCATGTTCACAGCTGGAGCACTCCCATACCACTTGACATATGGGATCCACTCCTTATCTCCAACTGTAGCCAGCACCCTGTTCTTCACAAGGGCGACCTGCCTCAGTGCAGACACCCAAAACGGATCAGGCAGCCCTGCACGCCCAAGGAGAGTGCGTGCCCCCTCCTGCAGGGTCCTGTTGAACCTCTCAGCCACGCCATTCTGCTGCGGGTTGTAGGGCACTGTCAGTTGATGCTGGATCCCCTTCCTCTTCAACTCCCCCTCAAAATCAGCTCCAATGAACTCCCCACCATTGTCACTACGGATCACCTTCACCTTGTGTCCGCATTCCCTCTGAGCTCTCGGCATCCACTCCTTAAGGACAGCCGCTGCCACCTCCCCCTTGCTCTTCAAAGGGTAAACCCACACTGCCCGAGTGTGGTCATCCACAATTGTCAAGAAATAGCGGCTGCCTGAGAGGGAAGGGGCTCTTGTGGGCCCCACCACATCCATGTGCACAAGTGCAAGTGGGGTCTTGGCTGGTCCTGTAGTGCTGTTGAAGGGGAACTTGGAGAACTTGGTCTCCAAGCATGTAGGGCAGCTCCCAATCTCCTTCACTCCCCCTTTCACCTCCAAGCCCTTCAGGCTCCCATCCTTCACCAACTTCTGCAGCATAGGGAAGTTCACATGACACAGCCTCTCATGCCATGTCTCCCAATCGGCCTCTCCACTCCTTGATGAAGCCTTAGCCCATGCCGCACTCGCATCCACACCAGCAAGCACCTCACCATGTGTCTGCTGCTGCTGCACTTTCTTGACTGCTTCCAGGACCCCATCAGTTGGTGCAGTTGCATCTCCTCCTGCTGTTGCCTTTGCCGCTGCTGCCGTTGCTGCTGTTGGAGTCTTCCCATTCCATGGGATGATGGGCAGCTGCCACAGGTCCTTGATGCAGCTGGTCTCCTCTTCCAGACTCCACAGCACCTTCTTCCCAAGCTTAGCACGGCAGCTGGTTGGTCCAAAGGTCACTTCGGCCTTGCTCTTCTGCAGTCGTCGCACAGAGAGAAGGTTAGCAGACAAGCCTTTAACCAGCAGAACATTCCCAAGCCCCACAAGCTCCCCATTAGCTCCCTTAACCTTGGCATTCCCAACACCAATCACGGGGAGCAAAGCACCTGACGCTGCTGCCACATACTTAATCTTCCCAGGGGGTTTTACCTCATCAAGCAAATCTGCCCGTGGGGTCATGTGACTGGTGCAACCCGAATCAATCACCCAGTGCGTGAGAGGGTGCATCACAACCTTTCCCACAGATCCCACATCACCCTCATGCCCATGCACATCCTCAACCATGAGATACATCCCAGGATAGGCGTTACCTTGTGCACCTTCACCTTGTGCACCTGAGCCTTGCACAGCGCCACCTTGTGCGCGTTCACCACTTGGCGGCTTCATGCCTGGAGGTGACCATCCCTCCAGCCTGCTGAAGCACTTGAACCAAGGATGCCCGACCTTCTTGCAGTACCAGCAGGTGCCCTCCATTCTGGTACTCCCCCTGCCACTGGAGCTCCCATGCCCCTCATTATAGTCACCTCGGCCTCTACCTCTGCCAAAGCTTCTCCCACGGCCTCGGCCTCTCCAACCCCCTCTTCCTCTGCCGCGCCCTGCAGCTCCATACCCCTCAGCAGTCTTAGTGGCAGCACCGCCTCCCACATGGCGTCTGCGGAAGTCCTCCTGCAGAATCTGCTGCCTTAGCCACTCAGGTGTCCATTGATCTTGCTGAGAGTTGAGGGTGGGGATGAGGTTGTCCCAAGAGTTGTCCAACACCGAGATGATCTTGGTGCACTGCTGCAGCTGAGATACACTGCTGCCCGCTGCTGCCATCCTTGCATAGGTGTCCTTGATCTTGTCAAGGACCGGCTTCACATCGTCCCCTGGTCGCATGGAGATGGCAGCAAGTTCCTTCTCGAGCACGATCACCATCAGGAGAGTGTTGGGCTGAATCACATCGCGTAGTAGTTTCCACGCCCTTGGACCCGAATCATCCGCTTCCACAAGATCCTTGATGTGCTCGAACATCTCCTTGTTGACCGATTGAAGGATGAGGTCGAAAAGCACCGCGCTTTTCTCAATCCACCGTTCACGTGCTTCGCCTTCTTCCGGCATCTTCTCTTCCCCAACAGCAATCTTCAGTAGCTTGTAGCGTTTGAAGGCACTCCTCATCCGTCCGCTCCATTCCTCATAGTTGGAGCCATCCAAAGCTTCAACTTTTGATGGCGGCGGCTCACTTGTCTTCTCAGCTACAGCTCCTCTTCCATTAGCATCTCCTCCTCTCTCATTCATCTTCTCCTTGAGAAATGACGAATTTCAGCTCCCCTTTGCTGTCCACACTCAGCTCCCTCGATATTTTCACAAGTGTCGGCGTCCACGAAATTTCGGCAGAGTTTCCCCTTAGCGGAAGACACATCCAACCTTTAGAACACCACTTAGGCACACCCACAGGCCATGGTGGGTCTAGAAGGGTCTTCACACTTCTGTAGACTCCTCTCAATGTCCTTAATATCGCTCTGATACCACTTGTTAGGATTAAGGACGGAGTCTAGGTGAACTTAGGAGCTAGAATTACTCAAAATATAAATCCGAAATTCTGGACAGAAAAGTCGTCTTCACAAGAAACGACGTCGACGAAAAACTAGCCGTTGGAATGTCGCGAAACTTGGATATGTTGTAGCTCTTAATCTCAGCTACCGTTCCCAATTTGAATCACGTTGATTGATGAAGTATTCGCGACGCTATGGCTTTCGACGCATTAGGGGGTAAGCTGTAGGAGGAGAACTTAACTCAATCTCAAAGGTTCAATCAAAGTTCAAGAATCTCACAAGGAATTAGAGGAGCAAGAGAAAGGTTGGGATAGAAGAGAGGGATGAGAGGGAAGGTCCCAAGAGAGTCCCCAACCAAGGAAACCCCATAAGCACAAAGATTCCCTCCCTATAGGAACCCCAACTTTGACATTTGTCCCTTCCCAACCAATCCATCCAAGTTGGCCACCCTTGCCAACCTAGCTTGGTTGTTCCCAACCAATTTGCAGCTGTTACAGTAGAGTGACAATTTCCCCAACCCCAAAGGTCCCAACTCCATATAAAGTCACCCCACAACTTCACTTTGTAACCGCCGCAATTGTAACGCAAGCTCATGAACTTTGAATCTTCATAGCTTTCGCGTTCTTGCTCCGATTGAAGCGATTCTTGTTGCGTCGGAAAGATCTTCTCAAGATCTATCATCACAAATACCTGCTCAGACAGAATAACACAAAACACATTCCCAAACTCCAGAACACACACACACAAATCTTGCACATTCAAACCACACATGCAAGTTGAAAACATGGGATGGGAGGCAGACAGAATGTGATAGCATATGATGACATCACACAACAATCTCCCCCTCTGGCTGCCAACCATCATCCACCATACCACATCTCAAGCATGCATACTCAATGCACACTCATCCCAGCAAGCTTCATGCCCTTCCAATGATCCGCCTCCGCCAGACGCTTGGTGAAAATATCTGCTGCCTGCTGATGGGTCTTCACTATCTCCAGCCGCACCTCCTTATCAAGGAGTCTCCTCACCCAGTGCCACTTAGGCCTTATGTGTTTTGTCAGCCCATGCAGACAAGCATTCTTGGCGAGCTTCACAGCAGACTCATTGTCACAGAACACAACTGTCGGCTCCTCCTGACCAACTCCCAACTCCTCCAACAAACGCCTTAGCCACACACTTCCTTGGCCCCATGGTGTAAGGCCATGTACTCAGTCTCACATGAGGACAATCCCACCTCATTCTGCTTCTTGCTGCGCCAGCTCACAGCACCACCTCCTAGCAAGCACACATAACCCCCAATGCTGGTGCCATCCGCTTTCACTGAGTTGAAGCTAGCGTCAGTATAGCAACTCAAGAGCATCTCACCACTCTTCACATCTGCAGCACCTCTCTGCAACCGCTGCCTCACTCCACTGTACTCCAATCCCACTGATGCCGTAGCACTCACATAGCGGACCAACCTCTTGGCCGCTTCCAGCTGCTCATGACTAGGGCGTGAGACCACACTAGCCAACCGTGATGTAGAAAATGCAATGTCAGGCCGTGTATGATTTGCAGCATAATTCAGCGACCCAACCATCGAATGAAACAGCTTCCTGTCACTATCACCCACTACCTCCTCATCAGCACATGGCTCCACAGTAAACCCTGAAGGTAGTGGTGTTGCTGGCTTTCCCCCATCTTGCAGCCCATACTTCTCAGCCAGCCCCTCACAGTACTTCCTCTGGTGCAACCTCAGCACACCCTTCTCCACATCTCTCTCCACGTGCATCCCCAAGTAGTACTTCACCTCACCCATCTTGGAGCACTTGAACTGCATCTCCAGCATCTGCTCTGCGCTGTCCAGCAAAGCAGTTGATGCAGAAAAGAGAAGGATATCATCCACATACACCAAGAGCATGAGGATTTCATCCTTCTCCTGCAGCAGGAACAGGCTGGGGTCACACTCACTCTTCTTGAAACCCCCAGCCAACAGCGCCTCCTCCAACTTGTGATACCATGCACGAGGCGCCTGCTTAAGGCCATAGATGGCCTTCTTCAGCCTGCAGACCCTGCCGCTCCCATCATCCAGCCCCTCTGGCTGCTTCATGTACACCTCCTCCAGAATGATCCCATTCAGAAAGGCAGTCACAATGTCCATCTGCCGTATCTTCCATCCCAGGAGTGCAGCTATCGCCAACAGCACCCTCAGTGTTGTTCCTTTCCCCACAGGAGCAAACACCTCATCATAGTCCTTCCCTTTGTCTGCTGAAACCCCCGTGCCACAAGCCTAGACTTGTAGCGGGTCAGCTCCCCTTCAGGTCCATACTTGTGCCTGTAGATCATCTTGGAAGTGATTGCCTTCTTTCCAGGAGGCAAGTCACACAGGTCCCATGTCTCGTTCTCAATCAGGGACCCGAACTCCTCATCCTCACTCGCCTTCCACTTCTCCCCATTTGGTCCATTCAAGGCCTCTTCTCGAGTCTTGGGCTCAGGGATTGGTGCCCAGTAGCAGTGAGCGATCTCATCTTCCTCAATCTGCTCAACCACACTCCCAGCCTGCACCACATTCGGCTTGCCTCTTCCCCCATAGGTCAGCCTCACTGGAGGGCGCACATCCCTCCTAGGACGCTCAGGCGGGTGTGGAACTCGAGGTGGAGACTCATGCTGCTGCTGCTGCTGCTGCTCTACTTCAGCTGCTCCCCCTTCCTCAGTCACCCCAGACATCTCCTCCTCTGACACTGCAACCTCCACCTGTCTTGAAGGCTGCTGCACCTCATCTGCCTCCACAATGAGCGGTGTAGATGGAAGCTTCTGTTGCTGCTGCTTCCATTCCTTGTAGTACAGGGACTCAAGAAACTTCACATCCCTTGACACTGTCAACTTCTGGGTGGTCAAGTCCCATAGCAGCCACCCCTTGTGATCCTTTGCAATCCCCAAGTGCACACCCCATCTTCCAGAAGCCTCCAACTTCCCCCTTTTCTCCTTAGGCACATGAAACACCACCATGCACCCAAATGCCCTCAGCATGTTCACAGCTGGAGCACTCCCATACCACTTGACATATGGGATCCACTCCTTATCTCCAACTGTAGCCAGCACCCTGTTCTTCACAAGGGCGACCTGCCTCAGTGCAGACACCCAAAACGGATCAGGCAGCCCTGCACGCCCAAGGAGAGTGCGTGCCCCCTCCTGCAGGGTCCTGTTGAACCTCTCAGCCACGCCATTCTGCTGCGGGTTGTAGGGCACTGTCAGTTGATGCTGGATCCCCTTCCTCTTCAACTCCCCCTCAAAATCAGCTCCAATGAACTCCCCACCATTGTCACTACGGATCACCTTCACCTTGTGTCCGCATTCCCTCTGAGCTCTCGGCATCCACTCCTTAAGGACAGCCGCTGCCACCTCCCCCTTGCTCTTCAAAGGGTAAACCCACACTGCCCGAGTGTGGTCATCCACAATTGTCAAGAAATAGCGGCTGCCTGAGAGGGAAGGGGCTCTTGTGGGCCCCACCACATCCATGTGCACAAGTGCAAGTGGGGTCTTGGCTGGTCCTGTAGTGCTGTTGAAGGGGAACTTGGAGAACTTGGTCTCCAAGCATGTAGGGCAGCTCCCAATCTCCTTCACTCCCCCTTTCACCTCCAAGCCCTTCAGGCTCCCATCCTTCACCAACTTCTGCAGCATAGGGAAGTTCACATGACACAGCCTCTCATGCCATGTCTCCCAATCGGCCTCTCCACTCCTTGATGAAGCCTTAGCCCATGCCGCACTCGCATCCACACCAGCAAGCACCTCACCATGTGTCTGCTGCTGCTGCACTTTCTTGACTGCTTCCAGGACCCCATCAGTTGGTGCAGTTGCATCTCCTCCTGCTGTTGCCTTTGCCGCTGCTGCCGTTGCTGCTGTTGGAGTCTTCCCATTCCATGGGATGATGGGCAGCTGCCACAGGTCCTTGATGCAGCTGGTCTCCTCTTCCAGACTCCACAGCACCTTCTTCCCAAGCTTAGCACGGCAGCTGGTTGGTCCAAAGGTCACTTCGGCCTTGCTCTTCTGCAGTCGTCGCACAGAGAGAAGGTTAGCAGACAAGCCTTTAACCAGCAGAACATTCCCAAGCCCCACAAGCTCCCCATTAGCTCCCTTAACCTTGGCATTCCCAACACCAATCACGGGGAGCAAAGCACCTGACGCTGCTGCCACATACTTAATCTTCCCAGGGGGTTTTACCTCATCAAGCAAATCTGCCCGTGGGGTCATGTGACTGGTGCAACCCGAATCAATCACCCAGTGCGTGAGAGGGTGCATCACAACCTTTCCCACAGATCCCACATCACCCTCATGCCCATGCACATCCTCAACCATGAGATACATCCCAGGATAGGCGTTACCTTGTGCACCTTCACCTTGTGCACCTGAGCCTTGCACAGCGCCACCTTGTGCGCGTTCACCACTGGGCGGCTTCATGCCTGGAGGTGCCCATCCCTCCGGCCTGCTGAAGCACTTGAACCAAGGATGCCCACCTTCTTGCAGTACCAGCAGGTGCCCTCCATTCTGGTACTCCCCCTGCCACTGGAGCTCCCATGCCCCTCATTATAGTCACCTCGGCCTCTACCTCTGCCAAAGCTTCTCCCACGGCCTCGGCCTCTCCAACCCCCTCTTCCTCTGCCGCGCCCTGCAGCTCCATACCCCTCAGCAGTCTTAGTGGCAGCACCGCCTCCCACATGGCGTCTGCGGAAGTCCTCCTGCAGAATCTGCTGCCTTAGCCACTCAGGTGTCCATTGATCTTGCTGAGAGTTGAGGGTGGGGATGAGGTTGTCCCAAGAGTTGTCCAACACCGAGATGATCTTGGTGCACTGCTGCAGCTGAGATACACTGCTGCCCGCTGCTGCCATCCTTGCATAGGTGTCCTTGATCTTGTCAAGGACCGGCTTCACATCGTCCCCTGGTCGCATGGAGATGGCAGCAAGTTCCTTCTCGAGCACGATCACCATCAGGAGAGTGTTGGGCTGAATCACATCGCGTAGTAGTTTCCACGCCCTTGGACCCGAATCATCCGCTTCCACAAGATCCTTGATGTGCTCGAACATCTCCTTGTTGACCGATTGAAGGATGAGGTCGAAAAGCACCGCGCTTTTCTCAATCCACCGTTCACGTGCTTCGCCTTCTTCCGGCATCTTCTCTTCCCCAACAGCAATCTTCAGTAGCTTGTAGCGTTTGAAGGCACTCCTCATCCGTCCGCTCCATTCCTCATAGTTGGAGCCATCCAAAGCTTCAACTTTTGATGGCGGCGGCTCACTTGTCTTCTCAGCTACAGCTCCTCTTCCATTAGCATCTCCTCCTCTCTCATTCATCTTCTCCTTGAGAAATGACGAATTTCAGCTCCCCTTTGCTGTCCACACTCAGCTCCCTCGATATTTTCACAAGTGTCGGCGTCCACGAAATTTCGGCAGAGTTTCCCCTTAGCGGAAGACACATCCAACCTTTAGAACACCACTTAGGCACACCCACAGGCCATGGTGGGTCTAGAAGGGTCTTCACACTTCTGTAGACTCCTCTCAATGTCCTTAATATCGCTCTGATACCACTTGTTAGGATTAAGGACGGAGTCTAGGTGAACTTAGGAGCTAGAATTACTCAAAATATAAATCCGAAATTCTGGACAGAAAAGTCGTCTTCACAAGAAACGACGTCGACAAAAACTAGCCGTTGGAATGTCGCGAAACTTGGATATGTTGTAGCTCTTAATCTCAGCTACCGTTCCCAATTTGAATCACGTTGATTGATGAAGTATTCGCGACGCTATGGCTTTCGACGCACTAGGGGGTAAGCTGTAGGAGGAGAACTTAACTCAATCTCAAAGTTCAATCAAAGTTCAAGAATCTCACAAGGAATTAGAGGAGCAAGAGAAAGGTTGGGATAGAAGAGAGGGATGAGAGGGAAGGTCCCAAGAGAGTCCCCAACCAAGGAAACCCCATAAGCACAAAGATTCCCTCCCTATAGGAACCCCAACTTTGACATTTGTCCCTTCCCAACCAATCCATCCAAGTTGGCCACCCTTGCCAACCTAGCTTGGTTGTTCCCAACCAATTTGCAGCTGTTACAGTAGAGTGACAAATTTCCCCAACCCCAAAGGTCCCAACTCCATATAAAGTCACCCCACAACTTCACTTTGTAACCGCCGCAATTGTAACGCAAGCTCATGAACTTTGAATCTTCATAGCTTTCGCGTTCTTGCTCCGATTGAAGCGATTCTTGTTGCGTCGGAAAGATCTTCTCAAGATCTATCATCACAAATACCTGCTCAAACAAAATAACACAAAACACATTCCCAAACTCCAGAACACACACACACAAATTCTTGCACACGTTCAAACCACACATGCAAGTTGAAAAAATGGGATGGGAGGCAGACAGAATGTGATAGCATATGATGACATCACACAACAATCTCCCCCTCTGGCTGCCAACCATCATCCACCATACCAACATCTCAAGCATGCATACTCAATGCACACTCATCCCAGCAAGCTTCATGCCCTTCCAATGATCCGCCTCCGCCAGACGCTTGGTGAAAATATCTGCTGCCTGCTGATGGGTCTTCACTATCTCCAGCCGCACCTCCTTATCAAGGAGTCTCCTCACCCAATGCCACTTAGGCCTTATGTGTTTTGTCAGCCCATGCAGACAAGCATTCTTGGCGAGCTTCACAGCAGACTCATTGTCACAGAACACAACTGTCGGCTCCTCCTGACCAACTCCCAACTCCTCCAACAAACGCCTTAGCCACACTACTTCCTTGGCCCCATGGTGTAAGGCCATGTACTCAGTCTCACATGAGGACAATCCCACCTCATTCTGCTTCTTGCTGCGCCAGCTCACAGCACCACCTCCTAGCAAGCACACATAACCCCCAATGCTGGTGCCATCCGCTTTCACTGAGTTGAAGCTAGCGTCAGTATAGCAACTCAAGAGCATCTCTCCACTCTTCACATCTGCAGCACCTCTCTGCAACCGCTGCCTCACTCCACTGTACTCCAATCCCACTGATGCCGTAGCACTCACATAGCGGACCAACCTCTTGGCCGCTTCCAGCTGCTCATGACTAGGGCGTGAGACCACACTAGCCAACCGTGATGTAGCAAATGCAATGTCAGGCCGTGTATGATTTGCAGCATAATTCAGCGACCCAACCATCGAATGAAACAGCTTCCTGTCACTATCACCCACTACCTCCTCATCAGCACATGGCTCCACAGTAAACCCTGAAGGTAGTGGTGTTGCTGGCTTTCCCCCATCTTGCAGCCCATACTTCTCAGCCAGCCCCTCACAGTACTTCCTCTGGTGCAACCTCAGCACACCCTTTTCCACATCTCTCTCCACGTGCATCCCCAAGTAGTACTTCACCTCACCCATCTTGGAGCACTTGAACTGCATCTCCAGCATCTGCTCTGCGCTGTCCAGCAAAGCAGTTGATGCAGAAAAGAGAAGGATATCATCCACATACACCAAGAGCATGAGGATTTCATCCTTCTCCTGCAGCAGGAACAGGCTGGGGTCACACTCACTCTTCTTGAAACCCCCAGCCAACAGCGCCTCCTCCAACTTGTGATACCATGCACGAGGCGCCTGCTTAAGGCCATAGATGGCCTTCTTCAGCCTGCAGACCCTGCCGCTCCCATCATCCAGCCCCTCTGGCTGCTTCATGTACACCTCCTCCAGAATGATCCCATTCAGAAAGGCAGTCACAATGTCCATCTGCCGTATCTTCCATCCCAGGAGTGCAGCTATCGCCAACAGCACCCTCAGTGTTGTTCCTTTCCCCACAGGAGCAAACACCTCATCATAGTCCTTCCCTTTTGTCTGCTGAAACCCCCGTGCCACAAGCCTAGACTTGTAGCGGGTCAGCTCCCCTTCAGGTCCATACTTGTGCCTGTAGATCATCTTGGAAGTGATTGCCTTCTTTCCAGGAGGCAAGTCACACAGGTCCCATGTCTCGTTCTCAATCAGGGACCCGAACTCCTCATCCTCACTCGCCTTCCACTTCTCCCCATTTGGTCCATTCAAGGCCTCTTCTCGAGTCTTGGGCTCAGGGATTGGTGCCCAGTAGCAGTGAGCGATCTCATCTTCCTCAATCTGCTCAACCACACTCCCAGCCTGCACCACATTCGGCTTGCCTCTTCCCCCATAGGTCAGCCTCACTGGAGGGCGCACATCCCTCCTAGGACGCTCAGGCGGGTGTGGAACTCGAGGTGGAGACTCATGCTGCTGCTGCTGCTGCTCCACTTCAGCTGCTCCCCCTTCCTCAGTCACCCCAGACATCTCCTCCTCTGACACTGCAACCTCCACCTGTCTTGAAGGCTGCTGCACCTCATCTGCCTCCACAATGAGCGGTGTAGATGGAAGCTTCTGTTGCTGCTGCTTCCATTCCTTGTAGTACAGGGACTCAAGAAACTTCACATCCCTTGACACTGTCAGCTTCTGGGTGGTCAAGTCCCATAGCAGCCACCCCTTGTGATCCTTTGCAATCCCCAAGTGCACACCCCATCTTCCAGAAGCCTCCAACTTCCCCCTTTTCTCCTTAGGCACATGAAACACCACCATGCACCCAAATGCCCTCAGCATGTTCACAGCTGGAGCACTCCCATACCACTTGGCATATGGGATCCACTCCTTATCTCCAACTGTAGCCAGCACCCTATTCTTCACAAGGGCGACCTGCCTCAGTGCAGACACCCAAAACGGATCAGGCAGCCCTGCACGCCCAAGGAGAGTGCGTGCCCCCTCCTGCAGGGTCCTGTTGAACCTCTCAGCCACGCCATTCTGCTGCGGGTTGTAGGGCACTGTCAGTTGATGCTGGATCCCCTTCCTCTTCAACTCCCCTCAAAATCAGCTCCAATGAACTCCCCACCATTGTCACTACGGATCACCTTCACCTTGTGTCCGCATTCCCTCTGAGCTCTCGGCATCCACTCCTTAAGGACAGCCGCTGCCACCTCCCCTTGCTCTTCAAAGGGTAAACCCACACTGCCCGAGTGTGGTCATCCACAATTGTCAAGAAATAGCGGCTGCCTGAGAGGGAAGGGGCTCTTGTGGGCCCCACCACATCCATGTGCACAAGTGCAAGTGGGGTCTTGGCTGGTCCTGTAGTGCTGTTGAAGGGGAACTTGGAGAACTTGGTCTCCAAGCATGTAGGGCAGCTCCCAATCTCCTTCACTCCCCCTTTCACCTCCAAGCCTTCAGGCTCCCATCCTTCACCAACTTCTGCAGCATAGGGAAGTTCACATGACACAGCCTCTCATGCCATGTCTCCCAATCGGCCTCTCCACTCCTTGATGAAGCCTTAGCCCATGCCGCACTCGCATCCACACCAGCAAGCACCTCACCATGTGTCTGCTGCTGCTGCACTTTCTTGACTGCTTCCAGGACCCCATCAGTTGGTGCAGTTGCATCTCCTCCTGCTGTTGCCTTTGCCGCTGCTGCCGTTGCTGCTGTTGGAGTCTTCCCATTCCATGGGATGATGGGCAGCTGCCACAGGTCCTTGATGCAGCTGGTCTCCTCTTCCAGACTCCACAGCACCTTCTTCCCAAGCTTAGCACGGCAGCTGGTTGGTCCAAAGGTCACTTCGGCCTTGCTCTTCTGCAGTCGTCGCACAGAGAGAAGGTTAGCAGACAAGCCTTCAACCAGCAGAACATTCCCAAGCCCCACAAGCTCCCCATTAGCTCCCTTAACCTTGGCATTCCCAACACCAATCACGGGAGCAAAGCACCTGACGCTGCTGCCACATACTTAATCTTCCCAGGGGGTTTTACCTCATCAAGCAAATCTGCCCGTGGAGTCATGTGACTGGTGCAACCCGAATCAATCACCCAGTGCGTGAGAGGGTGCATCACAACCTTTCCCACAGATCCCACATCACCCTCATGCCATGCACATCCTCAACCATGAGATACATCCCAGGATAGGCGTTACCTTGTGCACCTTCACCTTGTGCACCTGAGCCTTGCACAGCGCCACCTTGTGCGCGTTCACCACTGGGCGGCTTCATGCCTGGAGGTGCCCATCCCTCCGGCCTGCTGAAGCACTTGAACCAAGGATGCCCGACCTTCTTGCAGTACCAGCAGGTGCCCTCCATTCTGGTACTCCCCCTGCCACTAGAGCCCATGCCCCTCATTATAGTCACTCGGCCTCTACCTCTGCCAAAGTTCCTCCCACGGCCTCGGCCTCTCCAACCCCCTCTTCCTCTGCCGCGCCCTGCAGCTCCATACCCTCAGCAGTCTTAGTGGCAGCACCGCCTCCCACATGGCGTCTGCGGAAGTCCTCCTGCAGAATCTGCTGCCTTAGCCACTCAGGTGTCCATTGATCTTGCTGAGAGTTGAGGGTGGGGATGAGGTTGTCCCAAGAGTTGTCCACACCGAGATGATCTTGGTGCACTGCTGCAGCTGAGATACACTGCTGCCCGCTGCTGCCATCCTTGCATAGGTGTCCTTTGATCTTGTCAAGGACCGGCTTCACATCGTCCCCTGGTCGCATGGAGATGGCAGCAAGTTCCTTCTCGAGCACGATCACCATCGGGAGAGTGTTGGGCTGAATCACATCGCGTAGTAGTTTCCACGCCTTGGACCCGAATCATCCGCTTCCACAAGATCCTTGATGTGCTCGAACATCTCCTTGTTGACCGATTGAAGGATGAGGTCGAAAAGCACCGCGCTTTTCTCAATCCACCGTTCACGTGCTTCGCCTTCTTCCCGGCATCTTCTCTTCCCCAACAGCAATCTTCAGTAGCTTGTAGCGTTTGAAGGCACTCCTCATCCGTCCGCTCCATTCCTCATAGTTGGAGCCATCCAAAGCTTCAACTTTTGATGGCGGCGGCTCACTTGTCTTCTCAGCTACAGCTCCTCTTCCATTAGCATCTCCTCCTCTCTCATTCATCTTCTCCTTGAGAAATGACGAATTTCAGCTCCCCTTTGCTGTCCACACTCAGCTCCCTCGATATTTTCACAAGTGTCGGCGTCCACGAAATTTCGGCAGAGTTTCCCCTTAGCGGAAGACACATCCAACCTTTAGAACACCACTTAGGCACACCCACAGGCCATGGTGGGTCTAGAAGGGTCTTCACACTTCTGTAGACTCCTCTCAATGTCCTTAATATCGCTCTGATACCACTTGTTAGGATTAAGGACGGAGTCTAGGTGAACTTAGGAGCTAGAATTACTCAAAATATAAATCCGAAATTCTGGACAGAAAAGTCGTCTTCACAAGAAACGACGTCGAAAA